CCCCCCCCCCCCAGGCCCTTAGGTAACTTTATAATTGACTTCCACTGTGCACCAAGTCAGAGCTTTACAGCTTTATCTCTCAGCTCCCATGGCAGAGGGTGTTCAAGTCCGGTGGAAAAGCACAGAGACTTGAAATGCAGAACTGGGCCACTGTTCACTCCTCCTGAGGTCACCCTGCAGCAGCGCCCGGTAGCTCCTGTGTCAGTGTCAGTGACTAGCCCTGGAAGGACTCGATCACCAGGTGAATGGTCACCGAGAATGAGTTGAGGGAAGTAGAAACTAGTGAGGAAAGGTGGTTAGAGGAAGGTCTCGTGCCCGCTTGCTATAATTAAAACAACCCTGAATGATGCACTTACCTGTTACAGTCTAAATCTAGACAGTAGTAGTTCCGGGAAAAGCGTGCCTTTGGTATGTTCATGTAATTTCCTGTCATCCTATAGCTTACGTACTGAAATGAAGTGGAAAGCTGGATAGACTTGAGAGATTTTTTAAATAGTTCCCTGCCTTTAGAGGGGCAGATATCGAAATTTTCTAAATAGGCAGACAGATGGCTATTGTCTGGAACATCAGCAGAATTGGACACCCTAGTTTCCAAGTAAAGTCTAGTTTGCATTATTTTAAGTCCATTTCTCTTTTTCCCAGTGAACATAAGAGGCCGGCGCTCATTCTAGAGGATCCCAATAGCCTCTAAGTCACCCTTTAGCCTTTTTTTTCCTTGTTAAGAAAAGTGAATCACTGATTCACATGATGGTCTAGTCACTTTAGGGGTATTACTGCAAAGGCCTATAATTATGACCTGGACTCATCAAGGAAGAGTTAGATCATCTTCATTAAGCCTTATGTACCGAAATATGGAAGCATATAAACCATTTTAGAAAGCATTCCATCAAAATCACTAAGCATTTTTAGTGGCTTGGGAAAGAACGCTGTGTATTCAGAATCCCCTGCCTTGCTACCTGCTGCTGGCTCCTGCTGTAGGAGGTAACTCCTGTTTCCTGTAAAAACCCTCCTTGCTAGGTAGTGTATGGGAGTCCCTTGGGGAATCTTGTTAAGATGCAGATTCTCACTCAGGAGCTGTGGGCTGGGGCCCGAGAGCCTTTGTCCCTCCCCTTGAATAGCACGTCCTAAGGCTCCTGGCGCCTGAGCGCCCTGGTGCTGTGGCAGGTGGATGGGTAAAGGGCTCCTTACCAGCTGTTTCCCAGGGCTGTTTAGACACCTGTGTCCGAAATGTAGAGTCCAGGATTGCTACACAAATGTTAAAACTCAAGGCCTTATCCAGGTACCCCTAAATTAAAATGTATCCAGTACATGAAATTTTTTATGAACAGAAACGGAAGGATCTAAAGTGAAAACTGGTTCAACCAAGTTAAATGTGCAAAAGAAAACGTTTACTCATAGTTTTTAGTGCAACATTTAATTCTTCCCATGAAGTTCCTAAAATAGCCACGGGGGGGCGTAGGCAGTCTTGCCCCTGGTAGACACTGGGGTGGAGTCAGTCGTGCCCTGGGTACACATGGGGTGTAGGCAGTCCTGCCCCGGGTACACAGGGGGGTGGGGGGGTTGTAGGCAGTCCTGCCCCGAGTACACAGGGGGGTGTAGGCAGTCCTGCCCCGGGTACACGGGGGTGTAGGCAGTCCTGCCCCGGGTACACGGGGGTGTAGGCAGTCCTGCCCCGGGTATACAGGGGGGTGTAGGCAGTCCTGCCCCGGGTCGCCCGGTTGGCTTTGCAGCAGTGTGGGCACCTGAGCCTCTGAGCTTGAGCGGCTGACGCTGCTGTACCAAGGACTGCTCGCGGCATGCACTTCAAAGGTGCTTTCGCAGACTCGCATAAGCTGACCTTTGGGGAATACACACAAATTTTATCAATGAAGCTCTTAACCTTAGTGGACTTATTTGAAAATAAAACTGTCTGTTCTAGTTCTTCATCTTTTGAGCAAGAATTTACCAGAGTGTTGACTTGCATCATGTTCATAGATAATGTTTTATAGAAAATAAGGAAAATTACAGTGTTTTATTTGAATAAACCATAAACCATAAATATTTCTTAAGTTACTAGCTTGTGGACCTCTCTCTTTGGGGTTCAAGTGACTGGAAGATGGGTTAGGAGCGTGGATTTAATACCCCAGGCTGCCTGTACTCGGACAGGGGCCTCTGTTTCGTGCTTACGCAGCTGCAGTGGATGCGTTTTAGTTCCCCTTTCACGCCCCTCTTCCTCCGTTGGACTTGTCAGTGTGCTGTGTTCAGAAACACAGCTGTTTAGTGACAGAGCTATAGCATGAATTCCTAGAAACAGTATAAACGGAAGAGTAACTTCAATTTATTGGAAAATAATTTAGATTTAGTTGACTTTTCAATTATGAAACTTAAATTCTTCCTTTTAGCTAGTAAACAAGAGTTGTTAGTAATAGAAATCAGCGTGGGGAGGTGGGTATTGTAAAGCCGCACGGGTGCCTTGCGGGATGCCCTGGGTAGCTCGGATGGAGACCGGACAGTGTCCTGAGGAGGGGAACGGAAGTGAACCGGGCAGGAAATACCCTTATAAGGAAATGAGAAGGGTCATCTCGGGCACTGCTTCTTGGGAACTTTTCTTGATATTTCTGATCCAAACTTCAGTCTGTATAGTCCTGCCACTGCTGTAACCACCTAATTTTGTTTCACTTACCCATGTAATTGATTATACACATCCACTGTCGGATGTGAACGTATAAGTCATGTTAAATGCCGCTTTGAAATTAAATGCTTGACTAGAAAGCACAGAGACGTTCTTAGATATTCTGACTCAGTATAATCGGGTGAAACGATGTTACGTGGGAAGGGAAAGAGCTGTAGCATCCTGGCTCTCCTCCTGCTGAGACGACCATGGCCTCACAGAGTTCGGGAATTCCAGTGTGATGAGGATTTCTGCTACAGCTAATATTGTAAGTCTGTTTCGAGATTACAAGTGCAGATTGTACAAATAGTTTTTTATTGTTGTTGTTTGTTTTTGCATTTATATAGCGCCTTTCCTTCGAGGAGCTCAAGGCATTTTTCAAAATCTGACAGTTTTCCTCACAACAACCCTGTGAGGTAGGTAGAGTGCATTACAAACAATAATAAGATGCCCGCTAACCTGTGCAGCTGCTGTTCTTTATGTTAAGTAATGGAGGTGTCAGCATAAACATGAGTTTTAGAACATGTTGCAAACCTTTTAAATTAGTGTGGTCTTAGTCATAGCTGTATTTAAAAAATCACTTGTACTCCATAACAGGGTAATTTTAAGAGAAATCTTTCATCAAAAGATCAGGAGTCACTCCCTGGGATTAGCTGAGCACTGAGTGCAGGACTCAGCCAGGTATGTTTCCGGTGGTTCTTTGTTTCCAGGTGAAGAAGGAGCGAAGAGCTGCGGCTCTGGGGTGCCGCTCCCTCGGCACCGGGAGCTGTCAGTTTGCAGTTGAACTTCCTTCAAAGGGGGAATGTGTTCACAGTGTTGCCTCTTGGTTTCTTATTTTATATCTTAAATATTTGAGCATTTTCTCTCTTCCTCTCTCCTTCCCTTGCTCCCTTTTTTCTGTCCCCCCTTCCCCCTCCAGTCAGCTCTTGGTTGTACATGCTAATGGAAGGGACAGTAGTGCAGCTAACAAATCTGCAGCCTCTCTCCATTGCCACAGTGCTCTTGGGTTTGGAGACAGAAAAGCCAAATAGCAAGAAAACCTGGGAAGTCAGTCTCTGGAAAGAGTGGGGAACAGGTGTGTGGGAGTGTGAATTCATATGTTTTGTTCTACCCCTTTTAATAATGATTGTAAATGACTTTTTTTCCTTATAGCAGCCATTGATCAGAGGTGCGGGAAGGGGGAAAAATGGTTTATTTAAAGCAGCAGTTTTTTGTTAGGGAGGAGAGGGGCATGTTGTTTGGGAAACACCAGGTACCTGTTTCTCTTGCCCCCCTCCACCCGCTTCACCCCAAGTACCGAGTTTACAGGTGCACGTTGCCTGCCGCTGCCCTGTTGGAGCGCCAGCCCGCGCGGCCTCCGGCTGTGCGCCGCGGCAGACACGGGGCCCGAGCCCACACGGGCAGGCCGCCGGGCGGCCCCGTGGGCCCCTTTTCCTCCCTGCGGAGTAAGAGGGCTGCTTCTGATAGTCTAAAGTTTCTTGTAGTTTCAAGACCATGGTGTAAGGGTAGCTTTGAGCAGTTCGTGCGGGAGATTTAGAGGGTCGGTGATAAAGGAGAGGGCAGAGGGTCTTTCGACTCAGCAACAGAAAATTTTATTTTTCCTAAGGTCCTCAGTGCCGTTTGCCCTGGCCCTAATAGTTGTAACATTCTTATGTTACTAAATAATTTTTACTTCCCCACAGTACTTGTTACAGTGGGATGTGACTTGAACTGTCAACCAGGTGATTTAATGTATTTTTGTAGGATTATTGGAAACAGCTGTCTCTCCATTCCTGCCTGCACCCAGAGCCATGGTCTGCCTTTGCCTCACTGTCGTTTCACGCCTGTAGCAGCCAACTGCGACAGGAAGTTTTGGTGGTGAATTCTATTTTAAGTGAAATGGAGGTTCTTGCTAGTGGCAAGTAACAGTTTTAGGGGTTGTGTTTGTTTTGATCTGATAGAAGTCAGGAAAGCGGAAACAAAGCACAGGAAACATGGAAGGCAGAATATGCCTAAATTAAGAGTGGATTGTTTTGTGTTAGCTTTAGCATATAAAGTGGCATCATGAACAAAGATTAAACAAAACTGCCACAGCTGAAAGGCATTTTACAGGTAGGAAGGCGCAGGTTTCAGGAAGCGGAGCACACCCCAGGCCCATAGGAAGGGCCAGCGCCCGTTCCAGGTCTGTGACTTAAGGCTCCAGGTGCGTTTAGCCCCGGCTCCGACTTGCTTGCTAATGTGTTGAGCCAGGCAATTATTTTAAGATAGGGTGTCGCTGCTTGTCAGTTCCACGTTGGACATACCAAGATACTGAGCTCTTTCTGTCACCTGTAGCCCTGCCACTAACCTCGTGGATTGTGCACTGTGCCTGCTCAGAGTGAAGTATTGCTTTGCTGTTCCCTGTGCAGAACGTGGGCTTTCCCGCCATCGCCTACTTTGTATTGTGTGCACAGGCTGCCTGAGTCTTATCTGTCCTTCATATGCAAGTACCCCAGGCGGGCTGGCAGCTACAAAAAGGGTTAAAAATCTGATCGTGGCAAAATCGCTTGTGGAATCTACAAGTAGTTTAACACTATAACTGTATGGAAGTTTGGCTGCTTTCACATTCTGCCCATCTTTAGACTGTTTTAGTGGTGGTTCTCTGACACCATATTATGACAATCCTAGTTAAGGACATTCTGAATTGTTTAAAGGACTTCCCCTCATTTGTCAGGGCGAGCATGCCAATTCAAAATGGAAAATAAGGCGTTGTCCATTTCTTCCTTGACATCTGGGGGATATGTCAGAACTCTTCAGGTGGCCCCGCTGAGTAGTGAGAGCTCACTGGGGCTCGAGTCTGAGCCAGGAAGCTCCTAGAGGGTCCAGGCGCACTGACCCGCCTGACGTCCTCGGAGAGCCTGCCCAGTCAGCGGCGCTGTACCTGCTCTGGACTCGGGTCTTCCCTCTGCCCGTTCGGGTGCTCCCCTTACTGCAGTTCCCCGCTGACCCCCTCGGCCCTGGTCATCTTTCAGTCTGGCCTTACTAAGATGCTCTGCTTAAATTCCCCCTCACTTGGCCTGCCCTCCTTTGGCTCTTTCCTGCCTATAGTAATATTCTGCGAAGCTGAATTCACCACTCTCCTCATTGCCCATACCAGTGTGGACTCCAAACTCCTTCCCAAACAAATCTCACTTTAGCTATGATTTCCAGACTTCAAAGTGCTGTAGCCGTGTAGTCTGTGCCATATTCACCTGTGTTTGCATATCTGCGCCTTGCTTAACTGTTTGATGCATGTGTGTGTTTTAGTCCCAGTTAAATTTTTCGTGTATGAGCAGTGGCTAGTCTGTCTGTCCTGTTTTTCACCATAGCACCTGTGTACTCAGCACCTAATAAATAATCCTTGGTGGAATATTGTGGCTTAAAATCTTACTGAAATGTTATGAATACATTTATGACAGCTTACCTAGAAAAAATTCTGCTTGAATGCTTCCTTTCCTGGAGTTTTTGCAGGATCTTATCTCAGTTTTAGCATTTTCAGTTTTAATCGTTAGAGTTAAGATGCATAGTTCAGATCTTTTCTCCTTGGCCATTAATATTTTTTGCTTAATGTATTTTATTTGGATAGCAGTCTTTAATTCCTTTTTTGGTTGGATTTTTTTTTAAAAAAAAACTTTATTTGGAAAAATCAGCCAAATGACATGAAAAGAAATTTTTTAAATAAATATTTTTATTGATTTTTAGAGAGAGAGGAAGAGAGAAAGAGGGAAATATCAATGTGAGAGAGAAACATTGATCGGCTGCCTCCTGCACGCACCCTGACTGGGGGGTCGAACCCACAACCTGGGCATGTGCCCTGACCAGAAATCGAACCAGTGACCTTTCAGTGCATGGAATGACAGCCAGCTGAGCCACACTGGGTGGGGCGAGAATTTTAAATTAAGACCCAAGTACCTTTAATTACAGCACATGTTTTATTGAGAACACAACTTTAGAATGAGGGGCTTGCAAACCTAAGTTTTACTTGGACTGTGATTGTGTCATGTGCTGTTTTATGACTAGAAATGTAATATTCTGAAGCCGTTATTGCTGGTTTTGCAATAGAAGCCTTTCACAACTCCACACCAGCCGCGCCCCCTCGTCACCAATACGGCAGTGTCGCTGCTAGAGCTGCGCTTCTGCCTCTGTTCTCTGAGCGCATGGTCGGATTTGGCCCGGTGTTGGGACGTCAGGTGCACTTCGGGGCCCGCCGGGTACTTGGCGGGTCTTCCTACTGTGTGTAGAGAATGTTTTGTGAGCGGCATGCTTTTGTTTGCTTCGTCACTCTTTGGAAGCTCGCTGCCTGGCACTCTTCTGGCTTGATGTGCATGCTTTTAAAAGTTCTAGTCATTCTAACACAAATTAGACGAGCGCTCTTGTAGGTCTTTCATTTTGTACCTTTCAAAGTGGGTGACTGGTATAAGCCTGAATCGGAGAGCGTTTGCCTGAATCATCTGGTCGCCTCTCAGTTAACGAGGCAAAAGTGAAATAAAAATATTACAGTACAGTTGGAAGAAAGAAGTTATATTTCCTGTGATCAATATTATTTGAGTGGAAATTATCATGATTACTGATTGTTCTCTTGCGTTAGGTCTGGCGGTTTTTAGGTTGTTATGTCTTTCTCAAGATCTCTTAACAGTGGCCCAAGGATGATGGCAGGTAACTAAAGTTATTGTCTTGATTTTGTTCAGATTCCGGCCCATTAAAGGAAGGCAAGAAGAGCTGAAGGAGGTAATTGAACGTTTTAAGAAAGATGAGCACTTGGAGAAAGCCTTCAAATGTTTGACGTCAGGCGAGTGGGCACGGCACTATTTTCTCAACAAGAACAAAATGCAGGAGAAATTGTTCAAGGAACATGTAGGTTTATGAATAAGATGAATACTGTTTATCTGTCTGGATAAGTGTAAAGGAAACCAAAGCCTCAGTTTTGGTGAACATTGAAACTTTAAGTCAATTTTTGTAAAACTAATCAAATGAAGCTCTAGTAACATTAAGATCCTTTGTATGACTATCCAAAGAGGAAACTCTGTCATCTGGAAGTGAAATTTGCTGTGAACTTTTAGAGTAACACAGCCAAGCCACTAGGTACTCAAGTATGTGAACTCTTAAAATACCAACGGTGTTTGTTACTTAATCTTAAATTTTTTTATATTGTTGCTCATGGTTTGCTTTTATAATTCAACAAAAGTCTAGCAGGATAAACAATTTAATATAAAGTTAATGTCAGATGTTTTCTGTTTTTAGGTGTTCATTTACTTGCGAATGTTTGCAACCGACAGTGGATTTGAAATACTGCCTTGTAATCGATACTCCTCGGAACAAAATGGAGCCAAAATAGTTGCAACGAAAGAGTGGTAACTATTGTATTAGTATAAACCCATACAGTACTTTTATTTAAAATCCTTTCTTAAATTACTGTTCAAGTGCTAAGAAAGTTGTGGGAAGGGATGAAACCAGAGCTCAGCCTGGAGGAGCCCGTGCAGGGCTGGTGCCTTGGCCCAGCGACCAGGGTCTGTTGGTGGTTCTTCTTCCTTCTTTGTTGTTTGGAATTAGAAGCCTGAGTTGAACCACACTCTGTCTCTGAGATGAAATGCTTTCTGTTTTCCTTTGACTGAGCCTGGTGCCTGCTCAGTGACGGGACTGCTGGAAGGTTAGGAAAGCCAAGGTTGGACAGCCTGGCTTCCAGGGTCAGCCCTTTACTGGCCTAGAGGAAAGATTGGGTATGAAGCCTTCGTGATGCTAGGAAGTTGACAGGCGGAAACTTCTTAGCACATTGCTTTAGAAAGTCCACGCTCCCGACTTAAATACAAGCAGTCAAGTCGATTCACCCCGTTAGCACACAAGACAGCCGCACAGGGGAGAGCGGGGGTGTGACTATACCTCCCTCCTCTTGTGCCCATTCCTACCTTCTCTCCCAAAAGAAGAATGTGTCCCTCTCCTATACCACCCTAATAACTTCGTAGCAGAAATTTTAGGGTCATGTGCCTGAAAGCAGAGTGGGCAGAGAGCATCACTCCCAGGCGTGGGGCCTGCTGGGCCTGCTCCACAGCCCCCGTGGTTCCCAGGTTTGAGGTCCGGCTTCTAGAGCTGCACGGTCAGTACAGGAGCCACCAGCCACATGTGGCTCTTGAGCCCTTGCAATGTGGATGGTCCGAATTGAGAAGTGCTGTAAATGTGGTATTCATGCCAGGTATTATATTAAGTTAAAGTTTTCTATAATATTTCTTAAACTAATGACCTGCTGAGATAGTACTTGGGGTATATTGGGTTAAAATATATTACTAAAAGTGATTTCACATGTTTTTACTTTCTTAAAGTGGCTATTAGGAAATTGAAGAATCTGTGCTTGGCTTGCGTTGCATGTCTGCTCTAGCGGGGGGCATCCCAGGCCTGGTCTGCATAGCTCTTTCCCACTGCTTGTCTGTGTCTCCTTCACCCAGTGTCAGCGGGTTGGGTGCAGAGGGATGTGAGTCCTTCCTGCTTGCAGAACAGTATGCTGGGTGCTGCAGGGTGTTCAGGGATGTGGGCGGGTGGCAGGGTTCCCGCCCTGCAGGCCCCTCCGGCCTCTGGGAGGGGTGAGGCAGCCACACAGGTCACTGTGGCGGGGGCTCTAGGGCTTCCAGGTGGGGATCGCGGGAGTTGGCTGAAACACGCAGAGTCGGGTCTTCTCAGTACTTGGTATTTATTGGACAGGCTTATTTTATTTAAAGAAGCCTTATTATTTATAATTACTAGTAACTTTTAACATCACATATTTTAAATAGGAAACGAAATGACAAAATAGAATTACTGGTGGGTTGTATTGCCGAACTTTCAGAAATTGAGGAGAACATGCTACTTAGACATGGAGAAAACGACTTCAGTGTCATGTATTCCACAAGGAAAAACTGTGCTCAGCTCTGGCTTGGTCCTGCTGCGTTTATAAACCATGGTAAGCGCTATTTCTCAGGTACTGCTCAAAACTAGAATGGCCATATCGATCTGAGTAAGACCTTTACCTTCCTTTAAAGTAGGGTCAGGAATATGACTCCCCCTCCCCCACAAAGCTGTTAAAATAAATATTTATGTAGTTTAACTTAAGATGTAAACTTCTCTCAAAAGTTGTAAAACTAGCCCTGGCCGGGTTGCTCAGTTGGTGAGAGCATCACCCCAAGATGCGAAGATCGAGGGTTCGGTCCCGGTCAGGGCACGAGAAGCAGCCGGTGAATGCGTAAATGAGAGGAGCGAGACACAGACATTTCTCTCTCCCCCTTCCTCTCCAAAATCAGTTTAAAAGAAAAGTTGTAAAATTTATGGAAAGCTTATTTCAGATTTCTGTAACTGTTCGTGTTTCAGATCTTATCTACAGTTAATTGACTTTATCTTTTGGACATTTTTCAGATTGCAGACCTAACTGTAAGGTAAGCATAACAACTTTTTTATCTCAAGTATTTAGTTTCTGCTTCAGGTACGAGTTTCTCAGTGAGTTCATTTTATTTCAGTTTGTGTCAACTGGTCGAGATACAGCATGTGTGAAGGCTCTGAGAGATATTGAACCTGGAGAAGAAATTTCTTGTTACTATGGAGACGGGTTTTTTGGAGAGAACAATGAGTTCTGCGAGTGCTACACGTGCGAAAGGTAAAGCACTAAGTGTAGTGCTCACCTTTCACTCTCACCCACCTGATGACCGTGGCACTAAATCACGTTGTTGCCTCGTTCAGACGCAGGGGTAGTTGTCTGCATTCTAGAGTGTCGCGCCCAGTAACCTGCATAAACAAAATCAAAGGATCCAGAGCTTTTAGGGGCACTGGCACCTGGCCCTTTAAAATCTTATTATTACCAGCTGTTATTCGTAGGATTGGATCAGAATTCAAATGTGCTTAAGTAGAGACTGGGAATACCTTACACACACACACACAGACACACACACGCACAGACACACACACACAGACACACACACAGACACACACACACACACACAGAGCCAGAGCAGGGTTGCCCCAAAAATGGCAGGTGAAGTTCAGCAACTGACAGTCCTGTGACAACCCCAGCGTAGTCGTGTGTCTTACCCAGCTGTGTCCTCTGGAATGTTTGTTTTGCTGCACGAACTCTTCGGAACCTGGTAGTGCTTCTCCCGAGAACACCCGGCCTAAAGCCAGCCTGCATGAGCCCGTGTTGGGTCCCCCAGAGGCCTGTTTTCCTCTTTCTGGGCAGCAGACGGTTTCCCTGTTGGGGATAGAAACATAACATTTATCTTTTTCTATGTAAAAAAGTGTGTAAACATTGGTTGAATCTTAGACTATTCCACAGAAAGATCCTTTAATCCACAAAGTAGTTTAATTATAGTTGAATAACGCTTTAAGATCATTTTACAGAGACAACTAGTAGCAGTTAAGTGAGTGCCTGAGACCTGGGTCAGACTGTCTGAGTTAGAGCCCTGTGACTTTGCATTTTATTGGCTATGATCTCTTGGTCAGCTTAGCCGCTTTTGTACCTTAATTACCCATCTGTAAAATGGGGATAACACCAGAAGTTATTTTGTAGGGTTGCTATGAGGATTAAATTAGTTGTTTCACAGAAAGTATATAGAACAGTACACAGTTAATACTCAAATGTTAGCTATAAAATTACATTTTGGTTTCTGGTTATTTTCCCATTAGAATAGATGCTCCAAGAAGACAGAGATTTTTATATTTTTTTATTTACTCCTATATCCCCAGCATCCAGAACAGTACCTGGCACATAGTAGGTGCTTGAAAAGTATTTGCTAAAGGAATGATTGAATGGAGCAAATGGTATGCTGAGTTTTGGAGGTTGTCCTGAAAATGTAGCGCACACTCGGGATTCCAAGCGAGCCCTGAAATAGCTCTTCCCTGGCTCAGAACTGCCCGTGTCGCTGTGTTGCTCAGGCAGCTTAGTTCTATTTCTTTTTCTTTAACCCTCACCTGAGGATGTTTTTCCCACTGAGAGAGTGGACGGGGGAGGGAGAGAAACATTGATGTGAGAGACACACAGACTGGTTGCCTCCCGCATGCGCCATGACTGGGGCCGGGGATTGAGCCTGCAACCGAGGTATGTGCCCTTGGTCTGAATCGAACCCGGGGCCCTTCAGTCCTTGCACCGATGCTCTAACCACTGAGCCAGACTGGCCAGGGCAGGTTAGTTCTCTGTACTGGGCCTGTTTCTCACTGGTCACATGGGGGTGATCCCTCCTGCTCCACAGGCTTAGTGTGAGCAGTGGAGGGAAACGAGGAAGTCCTTCCTCAGGGGAAGGGCCTAACAGCAGTAGGCACGCGAATGTCCGACTACATGAGCAGTTTAACTGAAAAGGTGGCTATGAGCATTCTTTAAAGCCTCAGAAACGCCAGTTAGGTGAGGATGAGACCAGTCAAAGGAACTCAGTCTTTTATCGGGTAGTCACTGAATGCGTCCTTAACGTTAGGCCCACATATGCTGGGTAAACAAGACCAGCACTGTGCCAGTTGCGAGGGTGGTGCACACACACTGTGCTGGGCACTGGTGGGTGGGGGAGGAGGCTCAGTGAAGAATGGAGAGTGGACAGATGTTGGCAGAGGCACTGAGGTCACCGGTGATTGTCCAGGGTGCATCGGCGCACGTGTCTGGGCTGTAACCGTCCTGGCACAATAGTGATTGTAACATGTTTCTAATAAGCACTGCGGATTTCCCTCTGGGAAATCTGAGGAGTAAAGTCTGACAAAGGACTAGATTATTGTGAGGCTTATCTGAAAGTGTGTATGACTATAGCCAATAAAATACTTCTGAAGTACAGTTAGGGGAGATTTGCCTTAACTGATGTTAAAAGTTACTGTGAAACAGTTGTGATCAAAACCTGATGATACTGGCCCAGAGGTGGACAAGTAGGTAAGAGGACATGGAGGGAGCGCTGAGATAGGGACGAGTGTGGTGCTGGTGCACTACTTTTGACCCGAGACCGGGAATCTGCAGTGTGGAGGGCTGAAGCAGTTACACGTGGGTTTTCAACTGCATTGTTCAAGGGTCAGCTAGATCTTGTGTGTCTGGAGGAAAACCAAGCTAAGCCCCATCTCACACTATGTAAAAATAAATTCCAGATGGATTAAGTATTTAAATTTTAAAATCTAATGCAAAACTATTAGAAAAAACTTAGAATATATGTCTAACCTTGGGGTAGTAGAATTGTTATGAAGGAAGACAAGAAATGGTGACTATGAAAATTTTTGAATAGCTGAAAGTAAAGCCAAAGCCAAATGATAAACTGAAGGGCACATAAAAGTACACATGGCATAGAGTTAAGATCATAACAACAGAAAGCTCCTGTAACCTAAGCTCATAAGGGAAAGACAATCCCAGTAGAAAGGAAAGGTCAGTGGGAGGCGCAGAAAATGAAGGCCATAAACGGGTTAAAACAGCTGTGTTCCCTCCCACTGTTGACTGGCGGAACGTAAGCAGCGCGGTGACTGCCGGTGAGCACCTGGGGAAGCAGGCGCGATGTTCCCGGGGCTGACTTGCTGTAACACTCGGAGGAAGTAATCTGGCGATATGGGTCAAAAATAAGTGCATCCGCTTACCCGCAGTCAGTCCCATGTGGAAGAATCTACCCTGTGGAAACATGAGCACTAGTTGGTAAGGATTCGGTTTCGAGAGCAGTATATATAGCACCTGTTCATGGTGGCAAACAAAAACGAAATAGCCCACAAGTGTCAGTATCACTGATGGGCCGTGATTGAATAAATTATGGAAGGTCTGTGTAAAAAGCACAACTTCCAAAGCATGCGTTCAGTTCCAGTTCATTTGCCCGTGATGTGATGGCGATAGAGCCGGCTGCCGAGTGGATGTGCGGTGTTACCTTCGGTGGTGGCTGCCCAGAGAGCTTCAGCAGGCGTCTCGGCGTGTGGGCCATGCTGAAGGGCTGGACGCTGACCTGGTGGCCGGCACCTCAGGGCTCCGGGCTGCGGGGGCTGGGGGATGCTGTCGTCTTCTGCTTGTGGGCACTTCTGTTCTAGGAGTGTTTGGCTTGTCGCAGCAGCGTGAGCATGTATCCCTTTGCTAAGTTAAAAAGAAGAAATGAGAGTAGCGGAGAAGGAGATGAAGAGTAGGGTTTGCTAAAAAACTAATTTCCAGGTAAAATAATCCCACCACCGTCATTTAGTTTGTGTGAGCGAACTTCAGGTGTGCTCCATCTCTCTAGAGTGAACCTGCAGTGTTAGTGTTACGGTGAAAGGCGTGGAACGTCTGAAACCGTTTACTTTCTTGCCCATGTGGAATGAAATGGCCTTTGGGATTTGTGGATTTACTTTCTGAATATATTTTGGGGGGGGTGGCGTGTAACTGGTTGCCTGCCTCGGTGAGGATTTCTAATGCACCTTTTGAAAAAAATCGAGGCGGTCCTGCAATAAGTCTAATGTTGCTTTACAAAAGCTTCCCTAAGAAGAGAATTCCAGACGCATCGTGTGAAGGTGAGAGCGAGAAGGCTCACCTGACGCGCCAACAGCAGCTTCCACGCTAGGTTTAGGTCTGTGCTCCTTAGTGTGAAAAGAGGTAAGAGGCTAGAGAGAGAAAATAAAACCATTGGCCCTTAGCAAACAGCGAAACACTAGTTCCTTGGGGAGGAAATCCTGAAGGAAATCCGCCACATGGGCTCTCCATCAGGGCAAGATTGCTTTCACAGGCGGGTGTCCGGTGCCGCCACGGGTCAGGGGCTGTTGTTGTTCGGCTTTTCTTAACAGGCTGAGGCAGCCTCGGCCGAGACCTCTCACTGCTGAATGCAGTGGGGAGGGCTTGTTTTTAACCTCTCACTGTATAAATTGCTTACTCTTTTGAGTAGAGCTGAGTAGAAGTTTTCCGTTACACACTGAAGAAAGCACAGATTTGCAGAACAATTTGTTAGGAAGTTTAGGAGCTCTAAGCAAGCACGCTCACTTCAGAGGGTTTATATAATACAAATGAAGCAGGTCAGAAGGTGTTCTTATCCCAGGATAAAAGCAAGTCTTTTAGTAACATTTTATTAACTTAATTATGGTCATTTATGTTTATTTCAGTAACTTTAAAGAAATTATTTAACAGTTTTTGTAGTTCAGAAAGTCAGCCTTTCACTGATACAGCCTGGCTTTCTTATGCAGAATCTCAGCTGGGATTGGTTTGTATCTAACACTCAGTTTTTTCTAAGTAATGCCTTGATTTATGGAAATTCCCTGGTTTCCTTTTTTAATTCCTTAATTCTCAATGTTCAGTGATGTCGTGTTAATTTGTCAGAATGAAGCTAGAATATAATGAACAGGTGGGTTATTTAAGCCACAATTTAGACCTAACTGTTGCACTAGCCAGTTTTAAGATTGAAGAATTAGCTACCTGTTGTTATCTGCACATGAAATTCTACAGGGCCCAGTGGTTTCTTATGGGCAGTTAATAATTGACAGTAGTCATAGCAATTCATTTTGTTATTTTAAGTTTAGAGTTTTTGTTGATTTTATATATATTTAATTTCTTTTGAGAGCCCTAGATTTGGCAAATTTCCAGTGATGATTGAGGCCTCATCAGCTCATCGCATCTGTAGGTCTGATGTGGCCCAGAGTCCCCAGCAGCCCAGCTTGTGGTCAGTAAGTACGCTGTTTGTTTGACGTGTGCTGTTTTCTCTTTCAGACGGGGAACTGGTGCTTTTAAATCCAGAGTGGGACTGCCTGCGCCTGCTCCTGTTATCAATAGCAAATATGGACTCAGAGAAACAGACAAACGTTTAAATAGGCTTAAAAAGTTAGGTGACAGCAGCAAAAATTCAGACAGTCAATCTGTCAGCTCTAACACTGATGCAGATACCACTCAGGAAAAAAACAATGCAAGTAAGTAAGGGAGACTTAAGCATTTCTTTTTTTTTTTTTTAAGTGTTTTCACACCATTTGCTTTCTAAAATATGCTTCAATAGTTTTGATCTTTTGAATATTGAGAGAAACCCTGGGACTCATGAGCTTCAGCAGCATCTGGAGGTGACGTGCCTGCAGGAGCAGCTGTGTCCGGCCTCCGGATGCCGAGCACTCTGCTCGGCTGATGTGGCTGCTTCCCTTGGACACTTGGTAACTGGGTAGCAGATTCTTCATCCTGTTCCAGGCTCGTCACATGTATGTTTGAGGGAACGTTTCAAGTGTTAGTTTCACTCTCATCGTGTCTTCCGAGAAGACAGGCTGGGCGGCCTGATGCAGGTGCACGGGTGTTCCCGCGCCTGGCCGTCTGTGGGGTGGAGTGTGGACTTGGGAAGTGCGTAGTTCCCGGCTGCAAGGTTCCACCTTTGAACTGCTTGCTGCCTTTTCACGGTGAGCAGGCCCACTTCCCGCAGCCACTGGGGAGCAGGCTTGGAATTGTGACAAGGGAGCGTATTAAGTGTCGCTGTGCGCACACAGCCACTGCCGAAAGCAGCAAGGTGAAAGGGGGGAGAAGCAGGCTTTAAGGTGCGGGGGAGGGGGCCTACTGGAGTGGGCAAGAGGGAGAGCGAAGAATAAAGAGGAAAGGTGGGGGAAGCCTGGACGGACAGAAGGCGCGTCATCTTGGTGGCGCTTGGAGCCCTGGGCACTCTGGCTGCTGTTGCGTTTCTCCTGGGTAACTGCAGTTTTCTCTCATTCCACTAAGTAGTAGGCTCTTCACTCCGACTTGTCTGACAGGAATCAAGCTTGAAAGTTTGGACTTGGTGATGCCCAGGGTGTACCTGCTTCGGCACTAAATGTTCACAGACACTTCTTAGTGCCCAAGGGCCCTCTGAGGTCTGGCTATTCTAGGCTCTTCTCCCATCTTCACTCGCTTTCAGCCCGGCACTGGGGTGCTCCCCCCTCCCTGCAGAAAATCTCGAAGAAAAGGGGAGGTGTCCCCAGTGATGGCGAAGGCCACTGCCATGAATTCCCAAATCTACCTGCTGCCGGAGTAGAGGCCAGGCATGGCCTCTGTAGTGTAAGAGTAACCCTGTGTTTCATCCATTTTGTAATGTCCACAGTGAGCAGAAGAGCAGCTGGTCCGCCATTCCTGTGGACCGTGGTTCTAATAATAAACGCAGCGTAATCAGTGCTTGTTTTCTGAGTCGGTTCCTTGGTGAAGCGGGAGACTTGGGGGACTTGCATATGGAGACGCCACGGCACTGTCCACATTGAGTGGCTCTGTGACATTCGTGGGGGTGTTCTGTGTTTTTATGCATTAACTATATTTCTGATGTATAGATTCTGAACTCAGTACCCTGCTTAGTTTGGAATACAGATATTTTTAGAAGGTGTTGAATGTATTACTGTGTGACCATCAGGGAATATTTATTAATAAACCAAATACATATTAAAAGCCTGGTAGTAGTTGAGATACAGAGATGTAGGAGCCTCGTGCCCCCCCCTCGGGGAGCTCATGCCTGACAGTACAGGACAGGTGCACACGGGACACAGAGCACACTATAAACGGCGTTTTCTAAAGTCCAGAGGGAACAAGGCATCCCTCTGAGCCACAGCCTCAGCATCACAGGAGGGAAAGGCCGCACTTCGCAGTGGCTGCTGATGGGAGGCGCGCTTCCTCCATGCGAGGCTGCCTTTCTGCAGAGTGGTTGATGGGGTCGGGTGATAGACTTGCTGGGTGCTCAGGGAGCTACGGGCTCACTCCAGCCGCTGTGCACGCTGCTGTGTTCACGCAGTGTTTCTTTGGCTCTTCCATGCGTTCTTTTAGGCTGTGTTTCTTTTGCTGTTTGTGTCTCAAACACTATCCTAGAATTCTGAGGCTACAGCTGGTGCAAAGCCAGAGCTACCTGAGCCTTTCTCCCAAGGGAGGGGGCATCCACTGTGTGTGCAGATTCGGGGTGCACTCTCCACGCAGAGCTGCCCACATTCATCCTGCAGCTTGTTAGAATTAAGCAGCTGGCAGAGGAGCTGCGCTCCCCGAGCTGCGTGTATATTCTTAAAGAGCTCTTTCTGCCCAGCGGGATGAAAAGCTCTCCTCCCTTCCACACAGGTCCCTTTTAAAGTTTTTAATCCTCTCCTGAGGATACGTTTAACTTATTTTTAATATGTTTTTATTTATTTGAGGGAGAGAGAGATAGAAACATCCATGAGAGTATCGATGGGTTGCCTCCTGCACATCCCCTACTGGGGATCAAGCCCGAAATCCAGGCATGCGCCCTGAAGGGGAATCAAACTGGCGACCGCCAGGAGGTGACTGGGTCAGCGCTCAACCGCTGAGCCACACTGGCCGGGTGAGATGTTTAATTTTTATTGACTTTAGAGAGAGAGGAAGGGGAGGAGAGAAACATTGATGTGAGAAACATCCATTGGTTACCTCCCATATGCGCCCCAAGTGGGGATCGAACCTGCGGCCCAAGTGGGCGCCCTGACTGGAGGTCAGACTCACACCTTTTGGTATATGGGCTGATGCCCCCGCAGCCACCCAGCCAGGGCCACGGCCTTTTTTGAAAGGTGTCTCAAGAGCCACAACCCAAGTGGTGGTTTTAGAATCCAAAGAGAGGAGACAATAAGAAATCCATTTTCACAAGTTCAATTCGGAAGCCTGGGTTATGCTGTTGTTAGAAGATTCTGGTTTTCTAGGTCCTTATGCCTCAGCGGCTGGGCCGCCCCCATGCTCAGTGCTGTGATACGGGATGTGTGTCACTGCAAATGCAAGTCAGTGCAGAACCCAGAACACTGGGCCGGTGGAGTGAGTTTATCTAACTAAGGAGCGCCTGTCCTAGAGGTGGGGGACTGGTCACTGCTTTCTCTCTTGCCTGTCACTCCTCGACCTGAACGCTCTTCTGCTGAGCCTGTAGGGCCCCTCCCAAGGCCCGGTCCAGGCAGCTGTTGCCAGTCTGTGTTGGTCACTTAAGATGGGAGCTGCTGGCTCCTCGAGCTCTGCAGGTGTGAGCTGTGTGTGGTCCTCACATTCCCTCAGTTCACGTTCTCTGGGCACCTGGGGCTTTTCCAGCACCGCGCAGGACGCAGCCCTGGCAGTCGGCGCTTTGCTGCCCTTTTGCTGCTCTCGTGTCCAGCTGCGGTTCTTGATGCCCACTCCGGGCTGCCTTTTGATTTTGAGGATGCTCTAAGATCACCGCGAGGGCTGTGCCGCGGCTCCTTGACCCATGAGTTGGGGCTGGGGTACCTTAAAGGCAGTGCTTAAAAACTTGGGATCTTGAGCCATAGACTTCAGTTCAGATCCTATCTCTGCCGCTTGCCAGATGGACGATCTTGGGCGCACTAGTCCGCGTGAGCTTGGTTTTCACAGTGTGACAGCTCTTACTCCAGAGATGCCTGTGAGCATTGAGTTCATACTGACTTGGCCATTTGCCCAGCGCCTACTGTATAATAATTGCTAAGAATGTGGATCTCCACCCAAAGTTACTGTTTCGGTTATGCATTTGGGGCTTGTCCTGGCCAGTAGGGAGGAGCCTGAGTGCTGGCGCCAGGGCCGCCCCGGCACACCTCCCCTGCCCTGTGCCAGCGCCCTGTCTCCGGATAGACTCCTACTAGTCTGCCTCTGTGGCCGCTGTCCCTTTACCCTGTGGCCCTTTACCCTGCTGTCCCTGATACTCTCAAAGCGCCCAGGAACAGCGTGGCCCTCGGGGGACAGCGAGGAGCCCTGGGCACTTGCTGCACTCCTGTCTTGGTAACTTTGCTCACACTTCTGCCCAGCTTGCTTATGTCCCTTTCGACCTTCGTCTTGGTGAGCACTCCTTTTAGCTGGACTTTTGAGGAGATCCATTGGCTTTAGACAACATGAGGATACACTATGAATACGTAAACGTAAGTGAAACAAGCCATAGCGACAAGTAGTCTGTTTTGAGCTGTTTAGAACAAACACCCAAGTGCTTTGTAAGTGGCTTATTGCAGTCAGCTGATGGCGATGCCGTGGGAAAGAGGGGTGTGCGGGGAGAGCCGAGATCCAGTCGACAAAATGATTCTTGTCTTACGGATTAAAATAAGTGTCCAAGTGAGGGGCCTCTCGGGCATCGTGGGGTACACAGCGAGGGTGTCCTGTTCTACATAAAAAGTCGCGGCAGGCTCCCTGGGAGAAGTGTTCCCTAAGCTGAACCTCGAAGAGGGTGAGAAGTTGTCCAAGTGAAGCACATTCAAAGCAGAGGGAATTTTATTTTTTAAAAATACTATAAGGAGGTGAGTGTGGGCTTGGATAAGTAAAGTTTATCACGACTGGAATCGAAGGTGGGAAGAGAGAAGGTAAGCATAATTTAAAACTCTGGACTTTATTCTTAGGACATTAGGGTACTGAAAGGTTTCAGTCCTGACCGGAAGTGCCGCGGCGCACCAGGAAGGCCGTTCCGGCTGCGTGGCGGGCAGAGGGGGGTGTTGGGGAAGCAGCAGGAAGACAGAAAGGGCAGGAGACTGGCATTGGCAGTGGAGAGGTGGGCGGCTCCAGTGGCTTTGCAGGAGTGGACGCCATGGGACAAGGAGGCCGAGTGGAGGCAGGGAGAGCAAGCGTCAGGGATGACCTCCCGGCTTCTGGTGGTGGTGACCCAGACGGACAACTTAGGAGAAGCAGCCATGAGACGGATGGTGAGTGCAGTGGCCCAGGGGCTGTGAGAGCCAGGGACCAGCGGATGCTTGGTGGTATGTGGTCTGTCATTTAGGAGAGAACCAGGCTAGAGAAAGTGGCTCAGCAACTGCCTGCAGGTAGTAGCCGTGGGTGGGGAGGTGCTTGTCACCCAGAGGCCGTGTGGTTTTCCAGGGGCCTGAGGACTGCTGTGGGGCAGGTGGAAGGAGGTGCGCTCGCCGACGGCTGAGCTGGAGGTTTCCAGGAAAACGAGCGGTTAGTGTCACGTTCTGCAGAGAAAGGTGAGGGCTGGAGGGTGTCAGAGATTGGTCAAGGCTCTCGTGCGAGGGCCCGGCTGGACCCCGATTTCAGGGGGATCCCTGTCGAGAGAGCAGCGTGTGTGTGATTATAGTGTACGGCTAATTGCAGGCTCGAAATAAGAGGGGTGGGAAGGGGGAAATGAGGCTGAGAACCACTGAGCTTGGCCAGAGGACGGTCAGGCCGAGCAGAGGCCACGCCGCCACCTCCGGAAAGCTGAGTGCAGAACACTGGGCCACTTGCGTCCGCAGGCACGTCTGCTAGGCCCGCCTGGAAGGAAGGCTTGTCAGCGGGAAGAGACTTCATCAGAACCCCCGAATATCCTTATATTTTAAAATAGTTTCCAGCAAGTCCTGTGTAACCCAGTCCGCATACATCAGCTCTCCGATGGCGCGGCCTCCGCGGTAGCAGGTGGGCGCGCTCCGGGCCGGTCCTCGGGCCTCAGTCCTGGGAACTCTGCTGGTCTGGGTCCTCGGCGCCATTTGCTGGGCGTGAGCACAGAGCCCCTTTTCTTGGCGGCCTGATCCTGTTGGAACGCTTGAGCCTCGTTCTCGCTCCTCGGTGAAAACTAGCTCGTGGTGACTGACTTGCTTGGCGTGCGGAAGGGACAGCAGTCGCCCCGCGAGCTTCCCCACGCTCGCCGTGGTCTGTCCTCGCTTCCCGGTGCGAGGCGGCGACAGGTCGCCTCAGCTTCCCTGGTGAATGACTTGAAGGGGCCTCTGGATGGGAGAGGTTTTCAGGCGGGAAGGTGGGAAACTAGTCGGGACAGTGGCTCGTGGAAGACGCTGTACAGGCCCAAGTGTGGATGCGGAGGAAACCACGCCGGGGCGGCGGGCCAGCGCAAGGCCAGGCTCACTTGGGGAGTAGCTCGGACTTGAGCCACCTTAAGCTTCTCATAAAGCCCTTCAGCCGCCACCTTAGGTCTTAGGTGGTGGTTCCCAGTGGGGCCGTCCCAGCCTCCCTGTGTCCTTGCCCCAAGGAAGGACGCGGAGTCCCCTTGTCTGAGAGGAATTCTGGCCACGTGCCTCTTCCCTCTCCGTTTGGTTGTGGGCAGCAGGCAGGCCTGGGAGGGATGTGGCCACGCGAGTGAGCTCTGCTGGTCCTCCCGGCGCTGACGGGAACGACGGTGCCGTTTTCCGGGGCGATTGTCTGTGGGGAATGCAGTCTGTGCTGCCCAGGATCTCCTCCTCTTGTCTGAAACCACTGGGACAGACGTTGCCTCTCTGAGCCGGTTTGCATTATATTTCTTGAGTTAATGAGTAATTGGATTTTAGAAGAAAACTATTTAAAATGATTATTTTAAGAATTTGTGAAAGTAAAACTATGATTTTTTTCCTTAGGTCTACTTCAAATCTTGTTTGTGGTAAAATACTAAATCAGGGAAAGAAATACTGATTTTGGACCAGTATCATGATAGATTAAGGACGAACATAGAGTGAAACCCAGGTACTTGGTACCAGGGGTTCTTTAAACACCCAGTTCAGCCGAGAACAGATGTTCCGTAAAGTAGAGGCAGAAATGAGAAAGCGAAGATAAGGGAAAACACAGCAATGCTTCTGCGCAGGCAGGAGCCGGCCGGGGTCTGTCTGCCACATGTTCTTATAACCTGACCGTTAGGTGGCTGACGGGCTGGTTTGGGGCATTGTTTTGGGTTATCAAGGCTGGTTTTCATTCATTTTTTCTTTTAACTGCAGCTTCTAGCCGAAAATCTTCAGTTGGTGTGAAAAAGACCAGCAAGAGCAGAACGTTAACAAGGCAGTCTGTGTCGAGAGTTCCAGCTTCTTCCAGCTCTACCTCATCTAAGCTCACTCACACGAATGATTCCAGGGTACCAAAGAAACCGAAAAAGCCCACAAAGCCTTTACTTTCCAAGGTGAAGTTGAGAAACCACTGCAGGCGGCTGGAGCAGAAGAGTGCTTCGCGAAAACTCGAGATGGGGAACCTGGTCCTGAAAGAGCCCAAAGTAGTTCTCTACAAAAACTTGCCCATTAAGAAAGAGAGGGAGCCGGAGGGACCAGGACCGGCCGCAGCGGCTAGTGGGTGCTTGACGAGACATGCGGCAAGGGAGCACAAACAGAACCCGGGGCGGGGGACCCCGTCGCCCGGGGAGGGCGCCCCCAGCACGTACACGACCAGGCGGTCCGTGCGGACGAGATTGAATTTGAAGGAGACCTCGGACATCAAGCTTGAACCAAATACGTCGGACGGCTATGAGAGCAGCCCGGCTGGGCCTTGCCCGGACAGTGGCGAGCAGCTGGCCCCTGTGGCGCAGGAGGGAGAACTGGCGCCTGACGCGCAGAGGGGGGAAGCAAAGTGTCCTCGGAGTGACAGCATTGCCAAAAAGAAGTCGCGACAAGGGAAACTTGTGAGGCAGTTGGCAAACGCGGAGGACTCCACCCCAGCGCACGAGGCCCCGGGAAGAGCTGGCCCGGTGCCCGACGTGCTGGGGCGCCTCCCGGGCCAGGGCGAGCACAGCGGCTCGGAGGGAGCGCCCGGCGGCTACATGGATTGGGCGCCTTCGCCTGTTGACGGCTCGGGGGTGACGTCAGACAGCTTCAGAGCGAAAGACGGCTTCCGAACCGCGAAGAGTAAAAAGAAGAGGCGGATCACGCGGTACGACGCCCAGCTGATCCTGGAGAACAGCTCGGGGATCCCCAAACTGACTCTCCGCCGGCGCCACGACAGCAGCAGCAGGACGCACGACCCGGAGGACGACGGGATGAGCTCCTCCAAAATCAGCATCAAGCTGAGCAAGGACCACGAGAACGACAGCAACCTCTACGTGGCGAAGCTGAACAACGGGTTCACCGCGGGGCCCGGCGGCGGAGCCACGAAGCTGAAGATCCAGCTGAAGCGGGACGAGGAGGGCCGGGGGCCCTGCCCCGAGGGCCTGCACGAGAACGGGGTGTGCTGCGGCGACCCGCTGTCCCTCCTGGAGTCCAGGGTGCAGGTGGGCGACTACGGCCAGTACGCGGAGCCCAGCACGGACGCCTCGTCCTCGGAGGGGGGCGAGGAGGAGGAGGACTTCGAGGACGACTTCATCCCCCTGCCCCCCGCCAAGCGGCTGCGGCTCATCGTCGGCAAGGACTCCATAGACATCGACATCTCCTCCCGGAGGAGGGAGGACCAGTCTCTGAGGCTCAACGCGTGAGCTCGGGCCTCGGCCTGGCCTGGGACGAGCTGTGCGAAGAAGGAAAGAACTCCAGCCTCGTGTCCCCCCAGAACATTCAGCGGCAGCACTTCTCTCGTTTCTCCACTTATCAGCGTAACCCGTAGACAGTGTACAGCGTACCGGCTCCTCTGAAGTCCGATTTGTGCAAGTTTTTATTGTACTTTTTAAATAGCTTCTTACGTGCAATCCCGAGGGAGAGGCGAAGCCCGTCGCGAAGCCCAGGCTCGGGCAGACGGCAGCAACAGCAGCTTTCCACACGGACGTCGGGAGCAGGTGTGGCTGCACAGGCGTTTTTAACTTTAAGAGCATCGACTGGCTCTTTAATATGGGACTAAACCGTAATTTAAACCAACCACAGTAGCAGCATATTCAGATTTCTAGTACATGCTAATATCACCAGCAGCGGTCTTTGGCTTTTTGGTTTATTTGCTAGATGTTCCCCCTCGGAGTTTGGTCAGTGCCACGCTGGTGGCCGGCCGGCGTGCTGCGTGTGGCCCTGGCTCAGCAGCAGACCATCCGCTGGGAGTCAGGTCGGTTTTTTTAAAAAAAGGCAGCGCCCTGCGCGCCGGCCGGCCCGCGGCCCCTTGCGCACG